CAATTTCATTTTAATTTTGCAACTTATAAAGCATTAAAATATGTTTTTAATTTACATATTAAAACTAGTGTAGGTAATGGCAAATGTAAATTATATAATCGAATTTTCATTTTGCACTAAATGTTGCAAATATGTATGGGAAAATGTACATTTAAATAAAGAAATACATTGCCATTTTACATATTGCATTGTCATTTTGCATATTATATTTCAAAATGAATTTTGCTACCCGTATGCTTCCATATTTTTCAGGGGTAGGGTTGCAGACCTCGGTTCTATTAGGTGTTATTACATGCCAGAATATGAGAAATTTTGTCAACATGGCATTTCACTCTCCTCGTTGCATTTATGACGGGGTTAAATTTGCTGCATGAGCGCCGGGACAGCAGTGGCAGCAACACCAGCTCGGCCTACCTGAGCAGCAGTCGTCGATCCTCTGGCATCTCCCCCTGCTTCTCCAGCCGCCGTTCTAGCCAGGCCTCGCAGTCTGAGCACAACCACCATCGGCATATTCACAATCTCAGTGCCACTGACTCTTATGACCCTATCTCCACTGATGCCTCTCGACGCTCCAGTGAAGCCAGCCAATGTGGAGGTGGAGGAAGTTCAGGTGGGATGGTGTACAATGGAAGTGAAGGTACTGGAGGAAGTGGGATGGGGGCAAGAGGTGTTCTCAACCTCACTCCAGCTCAACACTATCACCTGAAGGCCAAGTATGCCGCTGCTACAGGTGGGCCTCCTCCCACACCCTTGCCAAACATGGAGCACATGAGCCTAAAGACTCGTCTGGCTTTGATGGAAGATAAACAGAACATGGGCCAACTTACACTACCACCACTGGTCAGGCCACGTCGCTGTAGTGATGGTATGCACAATTTACATGGCAGTCAAGCAGTGTACCAACGAAGGGGATTGTACCCTGTTGAAGGTCCAGGGAATAGTGATCGAAGAGCCAGTGACCCTGTGCGTACACGGGATACTAGTGCTTTTGGTTTGCCACAGTTACAGCGTTTCAGCAGTTTAAACAACATGAATTCATTACCCCATATTGCTGGTAATCATTCTTTAGATGGAGAAAATAACAGTCTGAGCTTCCAGAACTACATCTTTCAGAGAAGTCTACACTCGCCTTGCCCTCCCAGCATCATGGAGCAATCAGCACTTGAGGACTTGGCAATGGACCAAGATGGTCTTCTGTTACATGTTGATGAAGACATTCTGCCAGATGACTTGGTGCAGTATCTTCATTCCCAAGATCACAACCAATCGGATCACAACCAAGACAACCATAGCAGTGATTCCAGTCCCCATACACCCAGTTTTGACCAGGGTACTGCAGATGTCCAGAACTTCCTCAACCCGCAACAGGAGGAGATAGAAGGGGAAATCACTAGTAAAGATATAATGCCTATCCAGTGGAATGAAGTGACCTCTGGTAGTGCTGATGTTTCTCCTCCCAGGCAGCAGTCTCAGAGGTGCAGAAGATGGTCAGACCAGAGTGGCATAGTGAGCAACGCCTTTGGTCGCTTTGGAAACATGGTTGTGCAGCAACAACTGCATACAGAGTTCATGGATCAACACTCAACTCTTTGTAGAGATGGTGTCGAACACATGGCAGGTATGAACTACAGATGCATACATCCAGAGCAGCATCAACAAATTGCAAAGCCATCCCAGCAACAGCCCAGGACAAATCCAGGCATTAAGAATGAGTCTTCTTCAAACTCCAAACTGGAATCTAGGCCCAACAACTTTGGTCGACCAGACTTCTCTTATATCTCTTTGGGCCCCCTCCATTCTAGCTGTACCCAGCAGACAACTATATCCCAAAATAACCTTGAGCAAAATCAAACAATAACACATCAAATCAGCAGCAACCTTTCGTTGCAAAGACCAGCTAACTGCAGCTTGTCTCCGGCAACACTACTGCCTCACCAGGCCCAACATCCTATGACTCACCCACCTGTCAATAGTGGCTATAGAGGCTTATATCACACACAACCCTACTTCATTCAGCAGGTTATCAATGGTCATAATGCACATTCATGCCAGCAGCAAAGCTTGAGAAATGGAAATGGAACCAATTGCTCTCTTGCAAATCAGGTTTCAGGACTTAAGCTTGAGGCAGAGGATTACCTTCAAACCAACACTTGCTCTTCTATCCAGCGACAAAAGCCCGTGTTTATTGCTAAGTGTTTTGACACGTCAGAGTCCAAAACTTCATCTTCTCATGATACAGGACAGTCATGTTTAATGGAGTCCTTGACAGCTGAGACAGAAACACCTTCTGAGGCCCTTCGGTCCCCTGGGGTTGATCAGGTGACCAGTACAGTAGAAGAAAGCCTTGGTGTCTTAGATAATGTCGGTTTAGATATTTGTTCCATCCTTGAGGATGGTTATGAGCAGGGTAGTGTGGTGTCTGACATAATCAGTCCCAGTTTTTTCCAGGGTCTGTCTAGAACTTCCTCTCGGCTGACTACTCCCCGTGTTTCAGCTTCATTTCATCCAGGCACTAACAACATGGCTATTGGTGACATGAGCTCACTCCTTACCACCCTCGCAGAAGAGAGCAAATTTCTGGCTATTATGCAGTAATCTGTGCACTCCCCCTCCAAAAAATTGTTACGCTGTTATAGATAAGACAAATTTAACAGACTTGTGTATGTAATGTAAAGATGTGGGATGAGAAAGAAAGTTATTGCTTTATATTTATTAAAATTGTTTATTAGGTGATGTTGACAAAGAGTTGGTACACAATCTTGAATCTGTCTTATCTTCCTAGAGGCAGTGACCAATAAATCCATTCCATTTCTGGAATAGAGGCTATTTTAAAAGCCCTTCTTTTATATCGTTATATGATGATGGCAGATGGATTCACTGGTCTTCTTTTCATCACATTGAAACAGTATTCTCTGTGTTGTTGATATTTTTATGTTTTGTTGTACATTGTAGCTACGAGTGCATGATAATTTTCTTATTAAGTGTACACAGTGTTCACTAAACTGAGTAGGTTAACTCATTGTATTATGTATCTTTGTTGTTGAGTGCATTGCATACTACAAAAATGGTGTGAATATGCACAGACTTAACTGTCATCAGGTCAAAACAGGGTGGAATATCACTCTTAACAGGCCCAAGTGTCATATTTTGATTATTCTAAATGTCTTTTTAAGTGTCTTATATCAGAGATGTTGCAGTGATTATAATATAAGTCTTACCAAATGTTGTTGACCAATTTTTCCTAACATGGCAATTAAGAGGGACCACTTTGTTGTGTAAGGGTATGACAAGTTGACAAGTGTAGAGCAAAATGCTAGAGCTGATCACTTAATATCTCGATTATATTGACTGTATCCTTGTAAATAAATGTTAATATTTTTCTTCATTTTTTATTTTGCAAAAATGTACATTTTGCATAATTTTGATCATATTGTTAATGACTGGTGCTGCTGTTAAGCAATGCATTACATGACAAAAAAAAAAAAGCGTGGTCATTTTAGTCAATCTCAACATGTTGCTTATTGCACAAGTCATTTTTTTAATTTGTGGCCAAAATGTGTTAAAAGCAATGGTATCAATTAATGTTTAAATTTATCTAAATATATGTAATATCTGTAATATTATTTGTTATCATGTTTACAACAGTCAGTTGTGTGCTTTTTTTGTCACAGCAGTGCAGTGAATTTGTAGTGAGATCTCATTTTTGCTGTGGCTTTTTAGATCAACCTGTCTTTGCTTATCTATTAAAAAACCTCTACCTTCCTCACTTCTGAATTAGGACATTTATAAACACCAAGACGCAACAAGCTCCACTACAGGAGCTAAGAGACTTTTTAGCAGTATTAAAAATATCCTGCAGTTTCTGCCTGCATATGTATAGTTTTTAAAGGTGTACTCTCGTAATTAGGTTCTGTTTGTTTTTGTATGGTTATTTGAAAATTTTCTGTAGTTGTGTATTGGCATCTTTGTTTAGTTTTGAACACAGAAGTGGTATGACCTATTCCTCTTTAAAAGGACTAGAGGCTTTGAGCCTAAGGTATGTGCCTTATTAATGCTTGTCCATACAAAAGAGACACTGCCATTTTCTTCTTCTTCTTCTTCTTCTTCTTCCTTTTATGTTTCTTTGTTAAGGAATTAAAGAGAAAAAAATGTGTATGGAAAGAGTCCTGTGACTTCACATGTTATATGGAACACTACATTCTGTTGGTTGGGCATTGAGAAATGTGATGTGTAAGCAATGTTAGTTGCTTTGTTGTTGTTTTTAATAGTTATTACATTTGTTTTTATGCTTGTAAATACATATTCATTCTGTAGACTGTAGTTAAGAGTTTAGGTGGCATCAGGGGTCAGAATTAGTATAAATATCCTACTCTATTAAGCAGGAATCCCTGTGCCCTGTCTTACATTCAAACAGTTGATCAAAATAGAATCACGGTGCCTAGCACCCTTAGACTGGGAACAAAGTCTGAATACTCTTTTTTATATCATATTAAAACGTTTGTATGGTTTTAATAAAAAAATTAAATAAAAATAAATGCAACAGTTGTCTTTACTGGTATTTGCTATTGATGTACTGTATAAGAAGAGGAAGTTACAGTAAAATACAATATCATTAGGTGATACTAAACAGTGCTTTAATGCAACATATACGATTATCTTATCTGTGTGCAATATTTAATCTGGCTGTTCATAATGCAGTACTATTTTCTCTGCTCTGAGCTGAGTTAATGCTTCACATCAGTTCTAACATATTAGTGTGTTGTGCAGTAGATAAGCTATATGATTCTGAAGAGACTCTTGATCACATAAATACCTAAGAAAGCTTTTGAAACATATTTAAATGCATACATCACAATGACTCTAGTTAATGTTTGCATTTGTACACGATCTTGGACTGATACTGCAGAGGAAATTTAAAATCATGTTGTTCTGAATGTTATGATATTTTGAATAGTGTAATTTTTACCACAGGTAAATTAATTGACTAGTGTCAGTGACGTTAGTGACTTTACAGATAATTATATTTGTTATGAAAGTCAGTTGTTTAAACACATTAAGAAACTTTTAAAGCAGTGTTCAAATTATGTCAAAGCTCTTAGGGGGTCCCCCCTTCAAAAATAAATAAATAAAAACTATAGCCCTTTTAATATTTCTCAACAAAAATCAATGTAATAGCAAATTTAGCACATTTCTTTTAATCTCTCTCTTGTCATATTGTTATTTTTGGGTTTGTTTAAATAAAATATGATATGTTTTTCATCTTGTCCTTGTTATCTTTGAGAAAACCTCATAACCTAGTGACTGTTTGTCGGTTCTAAGATGAAAGCTTATTCAATATCAGTTAATTAGGTGTACCAAACAGTCATTAAGCAAAGAAGAATTAAATATCTTACCCATAGGCACAATGGCACAATTCCCACTTTATCCCCCTTCAAATTTCTCCTTTCAGCTTGATGCTTTATTTTTGACTTGTCATGAAAGTTTATCATGTGTTTTTACATTTTGCCAGTTTAAGCATTCAAAAGATTATTTAAGTGCAGGAAATCACAAAAGATGAAACTAAATTCAGGACTGGAGTACTGTTTTCTGTGTGCGCACGCACCCAAAGCCTGCACAATAGAGAGCCTAGTCTCAGACAGCCAGTGCCAAAAGGTGGTAGAGGCGATTGCCTTGCGGCAGCGAGGTTGTCGATTAAATTTTTAGGTGTGTTCAGCTGGAAGCGTATGCCTTTGTATTAGGGATTTCCTGGAACGTCATATGATTTATGGCTTCTTTGAGTTATGGATTTTGCACTTATGCACTAAGTTTTTCTCCAGTGTAGATGAGTTCAGTGAATGTATAAGATTTCCTGATAAAAAATTTAGATTTTTTTTTTTGTCAAAGATTTTTAATCATAATTTACGTTATAATAAATCCTTAGACTTTTCTAAAAATGTATAGGTATAGATAGGCCTCCTACATGTTAACAGGTCATGCTGCAGTTTTATGTATATATTGATAATAATCATTATCAATAATTATTTTTTTGTTTAACAATAATCAGAATTAGTCATATCGATATATAATAAAAACATTTTTGGCCAAATAGTGCAGCCCTAAAACAGCCACAACAAACTCAGTATTCTTTATACTTTTTGGTAAATAAAGAAAAAGTTAGTCTGAAAACCTTTCTTGTTACAATTCAGATTTTGTTGTTACAGTTGTTACAGATTCAGATATTAATTCACTTAATATTGCCTCTCAGAATAGTCGTCTCGTAACGCAAGTCTTGTTACACATTGATGCTATTTTTTATTTATTTGAAATGAAACAATGATAGAGAGATTGATCATTCATGATAGAAAGTGAAGTTGTGGTTTAAACGGAATCCAAACGGTATCTTTCCGGAGCCGAAAAAGGATGTTTTGACTGCTACATACATTATATTTATTGCTGTAGTAGGCTATTAGTACTTGTTTTATAAATGCAATGATGCCCCTGTCATGATCACAGACAGACTTGTCATATGAGGAAAAATTGTGCCACATTTAGTGTGTTACGTTAAATAATTTCTCTCTTCTTTTTTTTTTTCTACGCCAAGTTTGTTCATTTAAATTTATTCAGTTTTAGCATTTAATAATTTATTTGTAATAATCTCTGAAATGTAAATTGTAAGTGGGCTATAATAAAAACCATGTTTATCTTTATACTAAGTTTTCTATACGGGATTAGCCTATCATATTCCTCATGAACACGTGACGCTGACACGCGGTATCAGACATGAACTATAGAGAATGCGAACAAGATTAATTTTAATACAAGGAGATAATGGCGCAAAAGCGAATTTCAGATTTTGTTTAAAATGCCCATCCCAGCAAAAAACTTTTTTTTTTTTTTTTTATAAAGTAAAAGAATAGAGAACGCAAGCAAAGCGTTATTACATTTTTTAAGACTCGTGACCACCTACAGAATTTGCCTTATACAGTACATTCAAATAAATTCTCTGAAGAAAATCTTAAAAATAATAAATAAACATCCAACAGGATTATGTGAGCACTGTGGAATGGAGGAATCAGTAGAGCATGTTATTTGTGTTTGTCAAACGTATACTAATGAACGAGAAACAGTGAAGAATGAACTTAGAAAGATGGGAGTGGATAACCTAAAGCTTAAACATATATTTACTTATGGACTAGAGAGTTTATTTTTGTATTTTAAGAGAACAGAGCTGATTAAGAGAATTTAGAGGGAAAATGTTTATTGAGGTAAATAATTGTTTTTTGTTTTTTTGGCTTTTCTTTCCTTTTTTTTCTTGTCCTCTCATTATGAAAGGGTAAACTCTGGTCAACACTCCAATACAGTAGGTGGCGATAATGCACCTTAACATTAGTGCTACCCGCCATAAAATCGAAGAAGAAGAAATTCTCTGCAGTTGTTAATGCAGGCACTAGAGAGCGCACGCGCTCCACTTCGCTCTAGCCCTCCTCATAATCTCACTGCAGAAGAAGAACACAGCGGACCGCTGCTGAAACAAAATGGCCGATGTGGAAATGGATTTACGGAGCAAGAGGCTTAATAACGGGTATGAGCACGTGCGTTGTATGACACCATCAACAACGCATTTAAGAGCTTGGATGGGGGTGTTTTAGGGAAAGGGAACAGAATAGGTCAGGGTTGTGTTGTTCTTAGATTTTGCTATCTATTTTTTCTGTTCGGCTAGTGTTAGCGTGCTAATGCTAAATGTTCTTATACAAGGAGCCAGTTGTCAAGATTCATTTGTTAAGGTGATTTTCGTTGGTTTTGTGAACTCTTTAGTTTTAAAATATTTGAACTGTGGCATACCACACCCTGTGTGTTTAAACATTTTATTTGGTTAACTTTAGCTTCTTAGTAAAGTATCGATTAGTCTTCATGTGACATGACCAACAAGCTCAATTCGTTGGTTATCTATCCAAAATTTAAAAATTCCTATGTCAAATAGATCATAAAAGTAATCTAATTAGTCATCATAGACCCTAAGCACATTAACATACCTACCTAGATAAATTTGTTGGTGAGTTGTATGGTCAGTATTTGTGTCCTTGTGAAGAACACCGTGTTGCCTTGAAAAAACATAACAAAACCTCTGCATGTTATTTGGTGCCTAAATAAGCACAAAACGAAATAAAAAAAAAATGTTTAAAATGTCTGTGATGAGAAAAAAAAAACTGAAATGTGACCCCTGTTTCTTTTTACATTAAGTTTTACTGGTTCTACATGTTAATGTGCTTGTCATTTATCTTTACAGGCCAGAGGATTTGGAGAGGCCAGAGAAGAGTGGAAATGAGGATGAAAATGGTGACATGTCTGGAGAGGATGAAGAGGAGGTTGAGGAAGAAGCGGAGGTGAATGGAGAGAAGCAGGACAGCGGTTCCAAACACCACAGCAGTGGCAGCAAACACAAGAAAAAGAAACACAAGCACCGTAGCAAGCACAAAAAACACAAACATGCGTCTGAGGAAGATAAGGACCGCAAACGGAAACATAGACACAAACATAAGAAGCACAGACGCAAAGAGGAGCCATCCTCCTCACCATCTGGGGCCATCAACAGGAGGGCTGTGGATGGCTCTCCATCACTGGGCAGTGCAACCCTGGATGACAAGGCGCTTCTTGAAGACCTGGAGAAACAACGAGCACTGATTAAAGCTGAGCTGGACAGCCAGCTGATGGAGGGGAAGGTTCAGTCAGGAATGGGCCTGATTCTACAAGGTTACAATTCTGGCTCAGAAGAGGATGGAGTGAAACAGCGGGCACGTAATGGGGAGCAACGGCAAAGAACCAGTGGGGGCAGAACCCGCTCACCTAGGGACCAGATAAGCAGGGGGGTTAGATCCAAACGGGACTCAACGGACACCAGCAAACCAAGCGTTAAACGGCGCAGCCGCTCTCTCTCGAGAGTTGGTAAGGATGCTAAGCTTGAACGAATGACCAAAATTGTGAAAGAGACTGTTAAGGAGCGTAGCAAGTCCAAAGAGAAAAAACGCTCCCGGAGCAGGGACAAATCCAGGGAGCATTTGAGGAAATCCCAGTCCCCGTCTACAAGAAGACGCTCTGCGGAGAGAAAGTCAGACCAGAAGGGACGTTCTGATCGGCGTTCCTCTCCCCATATAGATGAGAAGCGGGAACAAGTCACACAGAGATCAAACTCACGAGGACGCAAGAGCCGGTCACGAGAAAGACGATCTCATTCTAAAGATGCCCGGCTGGGTCGCTCGGAGACAGACAGAGAAAAGAGGCCTGGAAAGTCTCCGTCCAAAGACACCTCATCTGGGAAAGAGAATCGGTCTCCTCATCAACGTCGAGCTCTTAGCCCTCAACGTCGACGCAGTTCCTCCCCTCGCCATAGGGACCGCCAGCCCAACCAGCCCCCATCGGGTTCTGCAGACCGGAGTTCCAAACTGAGCCACTCGCCGTCTAGAAACAGGTCACCAGTCAGGAGAGGACAAAGTCGCTCAAATGAGCGCCGGAGAGATTCTCCCTCCAGGTACACATCAGCACACCATTAAAGATTTAAAATGAACATTTTGTCATCATTAATTTACCCTCATGTTGTTCCAAACCTGTATGACTTTCTTCTGTAGCATACAAAAGAAGATATTTTGAATAATGTCCATACAAGTCTGTAGGGTCCAGTTTTATTTGGAGCATCTTTTATGCTCCACAGAAAAAAGTCAGTCATACAGGTTTGGAATAACATGAGGGTAAAAATTATAAAAGAATTTTCATTTTTGGGTGAATTATCCCTTTAAGCAGGGGTGCTCCTGGACTTTAGCTTTACCCAGCTCTGACACACTTGTATGGAAATTTCTAGTGAGTTTGAAGACCTTGATTAGCTGGTTCAGGTAAGTTTAATTAGGGTTGGAGCAAAACTGCAGGACAGTGGCCCTTCAGGAACAGGTTTGGACACCACAGCCTTTAAGCATCCCAACTAGTTTGACATGGCAACAAGGCGATCAGTGATGTGAGTTTGGGGCGGGGCAATTTTTTGGTTAGCTAGTAGCAGATGAGAAGTGTTTGGGAAACTTGTTTGTAAACAGACATTATTGAGGTTATTTTTGGTGACACTAGTGGCACAGAAATTACACGCTTTCTTGAAAGAAATCAACAGAGTGAAGCAAAAAATTATGATTAAAGATTGACCAATATGGATTTTTTGATGCATAGATAGATAGATAGATAGATATTTAAAGACATATATATATATATATATATATAATAAAAAGATACACATACAGCAGTTAAATTTATATTTTTAATGGAATTATGAAATTAGAAAGTGCAAATACTATTAACATACTTTGAAAATGAGTCAATTTTAAAATTAACTTGATGATTTTTTTTTTGTTAAATATGATTTATATTAATATCACCCTGCAGCCCAAGACTGGTTGCCCACTGAAGCTAAGCAGGGCTGAGCCTGGTCAGTACCTGGATGGGAAAACTAGGTTGCTGCTGGAAGTGGTGTTAGTGAGGCTAGCAGGGGGTGCTCACCCTGTGGTCTGTGTGGGTCCTAACGCCCCAGTATAGTGACGGGGACACTATTAGTTAAACCGAGGTCCTGACTCTCTGTGGTCAGTAAAAATCCCAGGATGTCTTTCGAAAAGAGTAGAGGTGTGACCTCAGCATCCTGGCCAAACTCGCCCATTGGCCTCCTAACCATCCCCATATCTGCTGATTGGCTTCATCACTCTGTCTCCTCTCCACCAATGAGCTGGTGTGTGGTGGGCGTTCTGGCGCAATATGACTGCCGTCGCATCATCCAGGTGGATGCTGCACACTGGTGGTGGTTGAGGAGATTCCCCCTTTCTATGTAAAGCGCTTTGAGTGCCCAGAAAAGCGCTATATAAATGTAAGGAATTATTATTATTATTATTATTATTATTAATAATAAATATGATTAATATTTGAGAACTTCTTGATTCTATAATCCTGATGTAGTGGGGGTTTTTTTTGTTGCAGTGTTATATTTGTTACACTGTTTGTATAAAGAATAAAGAAATTAAACACACAAGAATATGACAGGTCAACTGGATACAGCAGAGCATAGTTTGAGTGGTTGCAGTGAAGTCATATGAAAAGGCTAAAAGGTGACAGTTATATTTTCATAGTTCTTGTCTTGACTGAATGGGATGGTTGCAAACGTACATTCAGAGATCAGTTTTTTTTTTGTTTAGCTCTAGGGGTTTTCGTGTTTGTTGGCTGGAGTGACACTGAGAGGATCAGAGCTGTTTTTAGATATCAAGTTAAAGATCTACCCGCTCAATGGGAATTGCCCTGATTGTGCCATTGAAGGAACCTAACATTTGCTTTCATTTATATTGCTTGGTCTATTATGTCTTGAAACAGCCTGGTCCTAAATTACAATTCTAAGATTGTAGGGTCATATGCTTGTCTCGCCTTTTTTTATTACTTGTACTTTATCATCTTAATAGGTTGCAGGGCATTTATAATGACAGGTGGAGCTTAATGTACCTGAGTGCAACAGGTTTCCTGTGTGATAAACTGCTTAGCGTCAAAATAGTTGACTGTAAGATTGGACTATTTAAGGTGAATTGTTGTTCTATACATATGCTTATAATTGTTGGTTACAAAAATGGCCTAGGATGAAATAATTTATCTGGCAAATGCTTCATGTCTCTTAGGAAGCGTCCTCGTGTGGATGGAGCTGGGAGATCATGGGAAACGAGTCCAGCGCGGCGCAGAGTGAGCCGCTCACCACTCAGACGTTGGTCTGTATCACCACGGCGACAGTCTCGCTCCTCACCCAGAAGACGAAGTCGATCGCCCCTGAGACGCAGGTTAGACACAGTGAGGAATACTGCTATGAACTATGGATGCTCATTTAGGTTAATTTTATGCTCGTTATCCGAACATTAACCGCTAACTGATAAGATTAGAATATTAAATTAGTATTTAATAAAAATAGAATGGCCAAGTGACTCTGAGACCTATTAAAAATAGAAACAAATATTTTTCATGGGTTTATTTTAACATGTGCAGGGGCAGCATGCAGAACAACTACCTGCAACAACAGAACCTGGATTCATCCATTGTCAAATTGTGGTGCACCTAGGGTTGGGCATCGTTTGGGTTTTTTTCGATACCGATGCCAAATCGATACTTTTAAAACGGTTCCGGTGCCTGAACCGATACTATTTTTGTAGACTAAAATAAATAAAAATTCCCCCAAAAAATTATGGATTGGCCATGAGAATAGAAATAGAATAGAGAGTGCAAATGTTGGAGGGTCAAGTTTTTTAATTAAAAAAAACAAGCAGATAAAATTACAAGTAGCGTTTGAATAGAGAGTGCTAGAGTTAGAGTGTCAAATGAAGATGAAAGAGATGTGTTTTCAGCCGTTTCTTGAAAATATTAAGGACTCAGCTGCTTGGATTGAGCTGGGAAGGACATTCCACCAGGAGGGAACAGTTAATGTAGAAGTCCATGAAAGTTTTATCATGGGTAGAATGCAAAATGCTTCAATACAAGCATTTCAGTCAAATGTAATTTATGCAATATTTCAAACCTTTAACCCACTTGGGAAAATCAACCCATGGCAACAGTTTAAAAGTAGCCCAATTTTGTGGAAAAAAATGCGGACTTGGCAACCCTGCATCCAACAAGATCTACCGGAGTCAGCTTTGACTGATCACAGGTCGAGAATAAGGAAAGATGACTGACAAGACCATGCTGGAGTATTTGCTGCTCAACAGATCCTGAGCTCATACCAGGAGGGAACAGTTAATGTAAAAGTCCATGAAAGATTTATGAATGCAAAATATTTCAATACAAGCATTTAAATGTAATTTATGCAATATTTCAAACCTTTAACCCACTTGGGAAAATCAACCCATGGCAACAGTTTAAAAGTAGCCCAATTCTGTGGAAAAAACGCGGACTTGGCAACCCTGCATCCAACAAGAGCTACCGGAGTCAGCTTTGACTGATCACAGGTTGAGAATAAGGAGAGATGACTGTCAAGACCATGCTGGAGTATTTGCTGCTCAACAGATCCTGAGCTCATTGACAAATATCTGATCTTGTAAGATGTGCTTCCTTTACACAGAGTGCGTGTGATCGCGAAATCGAAAGTGAAAGTGAAAGTAAACAGTGCAAATGTTCATTCAAAAATATTTAAATACACCGCATCCTGAGAGCGGCTCCCTGATGCGCCAAAATTATACACAATATTAGAATGTTTATAGGAGTGGACATGAAAATCGCGGGAGCGAAACGCATGTTGTGGGAGCAGGTGGCAATGGTCAGAGATTCTTTTAAGTCGGAATGTGAAAACAAATACATTTGTATTATTAGAGCTTTCCGACTTGCGTTCACGTGCATTTTCTCAGTCGGGAAATTATTTTTCATGTCTTTTTCATTATTCTTCTTACGTCCGTTTCGGAAAACCAGAGGACAAATATTTAAATCGATCGCTCAGGCATGGCACCGAAATCTGCGTTCGGATTCGGTTCTAGTACATACCGTTTACATAGGCACCGGTGCCATATTGGTACCGGGTTTCGGTACCCAACCCTAGGTGCACCTACAGCACTTCTGAGAACAGAGAAAAACAAAATAATCTAAATTTTAAAAGTTTAAATAAATAGGACTACACTAAATATTTTTCACTCAATAAACAAATGAAGATACAAAACGAAAACACGCTGACTAATGCTATGCGCTTTGAAGAACCGGGCGTTGTCTTGTTTTTTTTCGTCAGACATAAACATAAATAGCAGACCTATCTCAGTGCACAACATGTCCAGTGTTTATTTAAAAAAAGTAACATGTCGACTTGCTTTGGGGGTAGTCTGGCGCACAGCCTGTTAACTGTTAGACCCGTTGCAGAAAATGCAGGTTTCTGCAGCGTTGAGTAGAGGTCGACCAATATGGGTTTTTCTCTGGCCGATGCCGATATTTAGAAATCAGGGCAGCCAATGGCCGATATATGATGGCGATTTTTTTGGCCGATATGTTTGGCCGATTTTCTCTTTTTTTTTCCCCATTTATCTCATAAAAGTGAGTTTGAGCAAATGATTATTGCAGGGTACAAGATAGTAATGGTAGTAGTAGCCCAATTTAAAGTAATAATACATGGCTCAAAACTTAAGCACCTTCTCAAAACAGTTCTGAAGGATGCCTTTTGTTTATGTTTGCTGACAGACACCAGTGTTTCCCACAGACTGCAAATTAATTCTCTGCCAGCAGGAGGCGCTTTGGGAGCGGGAGATATAGCGGTTTCCCCGGTAAC